CTACCGTTCACTCGCAAGGATCCTACACGCTCATGTATAACAATGAGTCCATCTGGATTTGCCTCCAGCCGAACCAGCCGAACCGCCCTGCTGATGACGCCTCCGGAGCACCGGCTTCCACACCCTAGCAATGCATACGTCAATGCAAGGCTGCGACTGATCATCACAGGATCGGCTCAGCGTGTCTCCAGCTCGGCAACATGCCCCTTCACTGCTCGAGCACGGACTTCATGCACTATAGAAAAAGACACTCCGCTTGATGCTTGGGTGTACGACATCAATCAGACTACTCAGAAGCAGTGGCGCGTTCATACCTGTCAGGTTCTCCAGCGAGGCCACGCTCGCACTCTATACCACCAACGTCTCACGTGGGACGCCTGGTCACGACCTTGTGCTGCTCAGCTGTACCTCACTGCCGGCGCCACCGGACATTGCATACTACGCCCCTACGTCCTGAGAGGTCACAGGACAAGCAGCACGTCGCAGCGCAGCCCTTATCACATTTTGCATACTGCTGTTCCCGGTCCCAAACCCGGGAGGCGCGAGTTCACTGGACGAGTGTTGTGCTCTACCCTGCTCAAACTATATGCCACTGCACTCGATATCCAACACGGTAACATGATCGCGCAGGAGCCGAGGGTTGGGGGCTCTGCAGACCAGCAACCCCCTGTAGTTCAACACAGAGCTGCAGCTTCCATCCTATCAACAGGAACAAAGCACAACGGTCAGGCTACACACCTTGGCTCCCAAATCTGGACTGCCGAGGCCGGGGCCACAAGGGTTATCACCCTTACACTGCATGTCTACCGAATTCATGCACTCTACCCCTCACATATCTTGCTTGTTGGTCAGTTGCTGCCGACATCCATGCCGGGCCCTGACTCACCGATCTATGCAGTGTGCTTCGGTGACTTAACCTTTCGGATGCCAACTGACCCAGCGTTGCGTCTCAGGTCAACACTATTGCAGGGACAAGCGGTCACCGCTCCCAAACGGAACACTACATTCTCGCTCTGCCCACACCTTATGTGTCGCTCGTGTCTATTGAGATGCTGGAAGCTGACCATAAATTATAACTGCTTAAGACACATGCATCACGATGGGTCGGCCCGCTGCCCTCCAGGTATGAACGGCCCCTCCCGCTGGTCACGGTTTGGTCCCGCAGGACCCCGGCCGATTCTGTGCAAAACACCATATCACTTCCGTGAGAACGTGTTTTTGGCGTGCCGTGTTTCCACCACTCCCCTCCGCTGCAATCCACTGCTGGCTCAATACAGCAAGGGTCCCATAGGGCAAACCACTTGTATACTTTTAAGTGCACTTCACCCAGTTCCCATCCAGCATCCGTTTACCCTTGCACCGCACACTTGTGGCGAAATGGGTCGCAATGGACCGTCGCCCTCGGCTAAGCTCAAGTCATCCAGACGGCCACCATCAAGATTTCGTCATCCTGCGACTGGCACGGCGGGAGCTGGGGATGCGGCCTCATCATCCGCCAAGGCGACTCCACCCGCATGGCGTAGCCCTCAAGCCGATCAAGGTTGGCGCGAAGCCTGGGCATGGGAGGCAAGTGACACTGGATGGGGCAGTGCCTGGAGTGCTACGGATGAGGCGACAGCAAGCTGGTGGAATCAATGGGACGGGCAGCAATGGACCAGTCGAATGCCGCCCCCACCTCCGCCGCCACCAAAAAGATCCGGCGTTCCCTCGACGGAACACCCCGAGAATTGACTGGAGAGGGAAGATGGACAGGCGATGAGTGTCAGACCAGGCCAAGACAGCGCCGATCCATCGTGGCGCTCCTCAGCTGGTTGCTCCGAGGCCCCCACGACTACTCTACACAACGTCAAGGAGGAGCTCCCCATCTCTGACCAGGTCCCAGATGAGCCAGCTGGCGAGGGTAATGGCATGGAAGCCACCGACCGACTGCCTTCCCGACCGGCTTTCGATGACACCACCACTACCGGTCCGGCATGCTCCTCTCCGCACTCAGGGCTACCGGGGCTGCTGTTGCAACAGTTGCCCTGTCAGGTTAAGGAGGAGTCCCTCGACTCCGACACTCAATCATCCTCCTCTGAAGTGCCACCTGTTATGACAGAAGGAGCCGGACACTTGCCGGAGGCTCAGCAGCCGATGCGAACGGCCATGTTGCTGTCACAAGCACCAAACGATGCCGCCCAGCAAATGAAGACCAGTACGAGCTCCGACACCTCCACTGACGAACATAATGAGGAGCACAATTTGCTGGTCCCTGCTCAACAAGGCAGCAGTGACATCGAGGGTGCCGACCTGCTTCAATGCCGAAAGCACGACATGGACCTCCGAATTCTCGCCTACCTCCCCAGCCGAGACTGTCACCAATCTGCAGGAGGATGCGGCCTCCAGATCACTACCTTCGGAGTCTTCACATGCCAATAGGTCCACCAACAAGATTCGAGGATGGCAGGCTACTGAAGCAGCTGACGCATCCCCATCCTCCGACGTCACCATCCCGGCGGAGCCTGAAATGGCCACCTCATCTCTGGCAGCATCAACTACGGCGTCGACCACGCGCGTCACCAACAAGATGCAGCGAGTGCACTCCCCGCATTCATATGAGAAAACAAACTTGTGCTGTCACTGTATGTATATCTTCTTGCCAGGGCTCCGCTACCACCCCCTTACCCCAGTTCAGTCGAAGCAGTGCGAGTGGCCTTTCATCACATCCCTGACAGCTTACTGGCTGGGACAGGACAAACCCTCGAATTCCCGCCGGTGCCAGCCTGAGCCCCTTTTCGCATACACCGCCTACTCTTTGTGGGGCAAACTGACACGTAGCCATGCTTGGGCGCGTTGGAAGCTTATGTCAGGCACCAGACGTGTCAAAGCTCGCCGATGCTCTGTCACAGCTGACTTGCCGTCGGGGCCTGAGCCAACATGTGCAGCGTCTGTGAACCCTGGCCACCGCCCAAGAAATCACCACCACGTACCGTCCACACCGTGTGTATCCCGTTCTCTCCGAGTGCTTCTCTTTACCTGCCTCCATCCCTACCTGGCTCTTGGCGCACCCCCGCAAATCCTCAGCCCCGTTCGTGCGGCCACACCGGCACAGGCGCACAGCCCGGCTGCAAAGCGCTCCTACAAACGGGCTGTTAAACGTGCCAGTCGTTTTGGCGTCACCACCTACCTTGGACGCACCTTCACTGCCAAACAGCTGGGAGTCCGCTATCAGCCCGACAACTCGGGTGAAGGGCCTCCCTCACCACAAATGGCGACCAAGCCACATGACCTCCGTGTTCTGTACTGGAATGCTGGGGGACTGCATGTATCCCGGCATGCAGAACTTAAGCATTGGTTGCATACCCGGGATGAGTACACTCGGCCGGATCTCGTAATCATCACAGAAACGCACTGGCCCACCACAATGGAATACCAAGCTGTTGACTGGCATGCTGTCCATACGGGTGCTGGTCAATCACAAGGGGGGATCCTTGTGCTCATACACCACTCCATATGTCCTGCCCATGACATACGGTATACGGAGATTAAGCCGGGTCGACTGCTCCATGTTCGTCTCTCGTTGCAAAAGCGACCTGCCGTAGATGTCCTGGCCGTCTATCAACATGCTTGGAACCCTGATGGTGGAGATGGCGACCGGCAAGCGCGCATCAGCAAATTGCTAGCGAACCGGTCAGACATTTGGGATCGTGTCTCCAAATGGACCCGGTCTGTACCTGCACGCAATCTCCTTTTCATAACAGGTGACATGAACTGTCCCTTACAGAGGGAGACCACTCATGTCGGTAGAGGAGCCTCCACGCTGCCACCTGGACATCACTACAAAGCTCAGGGACCATGGCTTATGTGCTCTAAACACTTGGGGCAAAGCTGGGCTTCATTCAGTCACCTATAAGCCGCACAAGGGTATAGGCACCCAGATTGATTTCTGTTTGATGCGATGCAGACAAACCACGCCTCATGCCCTGAATGCGCGCACCTTGCTGAACTTCCCGCTCTTGCCTGAAACGGGCATGTATCATCTTCCTCTCACGGCACGCCTGCCTTTCCCAGTTGCACCCCGCAAGGCCGGTGAGAAGCAGGGCAACTCTCTTAAGGCCACGCAGGCACTAATCAGCAAATACCCTGCACTTCTCCCCACCTACCAGACAAACCTGCCCGACCATATTTTGCCACACCAAGACCTGACTAAAATTATGGCGGATGCATGGGCAGGTGCACTTGAAAAGTGCTGTGTTTCCCTTCCTGTTTCGGAGGACCCTGAAAAGACGACTAACTCACCTGAGGTAGTCCATCTATGGCAACATCGTCAAGATCTACGAACACTGCAGCAGGCACTTACTACCAATCACGACACCTTTTCTGGTGCTAGCGGCCTTCAGGTTCACAAACGTGCCAGAGCCAGACAAGCGGCGATCCTGCTGCTCCGAGCCTGGCAAAGAGCTGTACAATGTGCCAAACAAACTAAAGAGCTTCGCAAGGCCAGCAAACTCAGGAAGAAGCAGCACCTCGATGCGCTCATCATGGAGGCCAGGAATAGCAGTAGCCCTATGACGGCTGTGCATCAAATCCTGAAGCGCTATGCCCCAAAGGTCAGGCACAAAAGGCTCCAGCTCCGCACCAGTCAGGGCGACATCCTAACGCCACAAGAAGAAATGCTGCAGATTGTTGGACATTTTAAGCAGGTCTATAAACAGCCAAACCTTGCACCACCGGGCAGACCTGCTGGCCCAGCCGTTGTCTTCGATCCACAGGATGTGCTCCAAGCGTTCAACAAACTGCCTAACAAAGCCCTCCCATCGCACTTCCTACCTGCTCCGCTCTGGCGCGCCTCAGCTTATCTTGCGGCACAGGTGTTTCAGCAAACCCTAATGGCAGCCTATGACCGGGATGAGCTCTTTCTTCCTAAGACCTGGCACGAGATACAAGTGGCACTCATCCCTAAACCATCTAAGCCGGCAACTTCTGCTGACTCGCTGAGACCAATTTCACTGCTGTCGCCGATGGCAAAAGTCCTTGCAAAGTTGATCGCGGAGGCGATTCGGCCCACGGTCCTGGATGCTGCACAGCGCATCCCACAATTTGCATATCTAGCGGGACGACAAACATGTGACGCCATCGACAGGGCTTTTGGGCATTGCAGGGAAATCCGCGAACGTCGGCAAAATGCCACGGTCACCACTCGTGACAGAAGGGCGGGAAAAGTTGCACAAATTATATCGGGAGGCATCACGCTCTCTCTTGATCTACGCAAAGCCTTCGACAGCATTCCCTGGCAGTGTTTGCAGGAATGCCTCGTGCACTTCCAAATTCCGGCCCCAATCATACAACTTATCTTGTACCTACACGAAAATGCCAGGTATGTTTTCAAAACCCCCCGGGCACAGGGCTCTGTGCTGGCGGGGCAGGGTATTAGACAAGGCTGTGGCCTGGCGCCGATGCTTTGGACGCTGTACTCTCTCTACCTAGCATCCAAACTTGACACTGCTGCGCCTTCTGCACTTCCAACCTTCTTTGCAGACGACTTTCTAGCGCAATGGACGATCGAGACTTGGTCGGAGATGAAAAGTATACCCACACAAATTTCGAAAATCATCGAAGTTTTAGAAAATCACGGTATGCAGCTCAGCCCAGGCAAAACTGTAGTGCTCTACTCGCTCTGGGGCAAGCAGGTGCATGCATGCCTCAAGCCCATGCTCTACCAACATGCCACACTTGGCAAATGCCTGAGAATCGGGGCGGCCAATCTCACGGGAAAGTGTCACATGTTGCCGGTTGTCATGTCCCACGAGTACCTTGGTGTCAAGCTTTCGTACAAAAACTTTGAGTGGCAAACCCTTAAACACAGGCTACGCCATTCCTGGATTGCCTACAATCGACTGTCAGCTATTCTCAAGTCTAAAGCCCTGCCAGTGCACAAACGCCTGCAGCTACATCAATGTATCTGTCTCGCCACCCTCAGATACGGGCTTTCCTGCACGGGACTCACAATGGCCGGTCGACAAAAAGTCTATGGTACTGTTCTAAGGCAATGGCGAGCTTTGGCCAATAACCTCCCACATGTCACTGGACTGTCTAATGCAGCTTTCCTAACTAGCTACAATCTACCCGATCCACTTGTAGGCTTGGACAGCGCACTGCTTAAAAGGCTGGACAAGGTGACATTCGGACCAGTTGCACAGCTCCAACCAAAACTTGTGCATAGATGGTGGGAACACCTAAGGAAAATCACAACAAATCCAGCTTGTACGCAGGTGGAGTGCAAAGTGCCATCTAAAAGTCAACAGGTCGTGCCCTCAGCCCCATGTGATGTTTGCGGTCTCACCTTTCCCAATGAGGCAACGCTACGCTGGCACATCTCAAATGTGCATGTCAAGCTGACCAAGGAACAGCACCATGCCAAAGAGGCAGCCTTTCGTGAAAGGAAAGCCTCGCACATGCAGCACGCACATGATGGTATGCCTACGTGTCGACACTGCAGACACGAGTTCTCCTCTTGGCCGCAGTTTGCGGCACATCACAATCGGCAGTGCTGTCCCATCCTGCACCTAGGTTGTGTACCGGACTTGCCTCCACTCCCGCCAGACCCTACGCCCCTGCTGCAGGATGACAACTTTCTGCAGATGGCTCTGACAGATGACTGGCAGCAGCTAGCACAGAAAATCCGAGCCATAGGGCGTCTGCACTACTGCCCCTTATGCAATCTGTGGATGGCCAAAACCGCCATGCTACATCAACACCTAAAGGCCCAACATGCAGATGAAGTCACTCATTGGGATCAGTATCAGCATTTCTTGCTTACGCGGAAGGGTATTAGCTCCCCCTGCCAGCACTGTGGCACTCGGCATAATCGCGCGGCGGTGGGATGCTCAGTACTAATCCGTGTAGCCTTAATCTTGCGCCGTCAAGATCGCTTGGGAACCCTTCTTACTGATCCGGAAACCTCCACAGGTGACAATGGACGAGTTGACAAGAGGCGCCGCAGAAATGGATCTGTGGAGGTCCATGATGAACAAGCCGGGCGAGGTCGGGCAAAAGAGGCAGGGAGACCGAGCGGAGGACTTCAGTCGCCAAAAGGGCCGACAACGAGGAGATCAAAGAAGGCAACCAGGGCTTCGCGAAACAAGCCAGACAGGCCTCCGGGCCTTCTTCACAGGACAACGACGAGGAGGATCCCCTGAGAGAGGCCGTGAAGCTCATCACGACTCTATCCCTACGCCACGAGGATGCACTGGCCATCCACCGCCAGGACACCAGCTACGTGTTCTTCATGAAGACAAGTCCACCGGAGCTGACGGTGCTCAACGATCTCATGAGGGTTGGCTCAGAATGGAAAGCCAAGAAGGAGCAGTCCCCGGCTCAGGTAAACCAGCCCTTGCGTGTGGTTCTCTTGGGATGTCTCCTCGAAGCAGTGACCACCAGGATGCAGTCCCTGCAGGATCCAACACTACATGCCAAAGCACAAGCGGCCAGGCTTGTCAATCCAGCGGGCGACTTTCACTACATGATGTGGGACGACACGGAAAAGATGTACCAGAACAAGGACGACCGCGAACCGATCTCCATGAAAGCAGTCCTCGAGGACATCGGGACCTTGCAGAGGCTGATCCTTCAACCAAGGGTGGTGGGACGCTTTCATGCTCAGAGGAAGCTCACGCCGGACATGCAGGGGAGGTGGTTCCGTTTGTCTTGGAAGTTGGTCTTCGCAACCAAGCATCGCACGAGGTCTATGCCCTCCTGGACAAGTACTGCCACCAAGCAATCTGGCACCTAGCGGGCACGTCCTTGCGGCACGACAAACTGGGTCGAGGAGCGTTGGCCAATGCGTTGGAGAAACTTGCAGAGAAGCTCTGAGGCGCCTCAAACTTCAAAACACCAGTAATCATTGCTACACCAACAGCCTTCTCCTCATGCTGTTGCATGCACAAAGTTTCAGGCGCGTGACGTTCTTCCGCGATGATCTTCAGCAGCTCATGTCCTGGCTAGTCACTCAGAAAACTGCTAAGCTGTGGCTACTAATGCCCTGGATGCAGGCGCTAAGAACTTGGGTGCAACCAAATATGCAACATGATGTAGCGGAATTTGCCAAACACTTGCTAGCAAATGAGCTGCTCATGGCTCCCCTGCGAGGCGAATGGCAAACCAGAATGCAAGTTGGTAGTGCTGTCCAGGTCACAGATCGGGGTACCACTTGGCCTATCTTGCTGCCCGAGCCTTTGCTGACCCAACAGGAATGTATGCTGCAGAGCTTGATTGATGCATGGGAGTCCCAGGCTGCACCGCATGCGCTTGCTGCTGGCCCCAGTGAGCTCCTCTTACAGCTCAACCGGTTTCGGGAGGTTGGTGCTGTCTATACCAAATCCTCCACCCCAGTTGTGCCAACTGACACCCTCTCCATCCCCGTGTTTCATGCTGACGGTTTGCGCCGGGGAACCCTTCGATATCAACTAAGAGCAGCAATCATTCATATTGGCGACACTCCACAATCTGGGCACTATAGGGCCGTTACCTTCAATGCGGGAGCATCTGCCTACATGCACGATGACAACAAGATTGCTCAGAAGCTAACTGCCAAACTTCTGAAAACCTTGCACACCCAAGTCTACCTTTGCCTTTACTCCAGGACTGAAGACCCCCATGCTGGTCCTGCAGTTAACATGTTGCCCGACACACCACCAACTTCGTCAGCAGGGTAAGCGGTCACCGCCCCTAGCTACTGAGAGGGTAAGCGGACTCCGCCCCTAAGTCGAGTTTCACAGCTAACGCCAGGTCTGTGGTCCCCACCCCTGTGCTTGTACAGAAAGGGTAGAGTGCACTCTTTTACATTTTGACTTTTCACCACTCGAGTCACACATAGGTGTTGAGTGGCCTCGGTGACTGCACTGCTTACGGGACCTTCGGGTCGGGTGCAGTGGCAGTTGCCAAATCAGCTGTCTCGAAGAGCCGTGTACATCCTTGTACATGTCGTAGCCCGCTTAGCGAAGCTCACCCCTCGCTGCGTTGGAAAGAAAGAAATCATGACAACACGTTGATGCCATGCCGCCCAACACAGTAGGCCGCCTGTAGAATCCAGCACCCGTGAAAACAAGAGAGCGTCAGTGGTGCTGAGAATACATCTGGGTTCCAAAACCTGAATTTCCAATTTGTTGTTGTCCCACCCTCCAACAAACCTGGGCAGGTGGCCCCTTTCAGCTTTGCAGAACACGTTTTGCTAACTGTCCAGCGCCCCTGCAGGCAAAAGTGGTTGCAGAACTGGTTGCAATGCAGCTTGCAATGTTGTCAAGCAGGCGCTGGCAAGGCTGCAAAGTGAGGATTCCACTTGGCTTGCCAGCAGCAAGCAGTTGGAGACAAATGCAAGTGTTAACCCAAAAGCCTGGTGCGTTCAGACAACACGCACTGCGTGACCTAACCCCAGTTGCACGGAAAAGGGGAAAGGGCAAACCTTCTAGGCCTGGGGCACCTAACAGGAAGAGACGTAGGGAACAAGTTTCTGTTCTTTTTCAAAAACAATATCTGAGGGCCGGCCTAGCTTGTTATCACTTGCGAAAAGTTGTCTTTAACTGCTTGCTGCTGGCAAGCCATGTGGCGTCAGCATCTTCACTTGCACTTGCCTTCAACTGCTTGCTGCTGGCAAGCGGCGTCAGCATCTTCACTTGCACTGCCTTCAAAGGGTTTAGGGTTTAGGCGGTTACCTTAGGGTTAGGCCTTGGGGTTTAGGGTCAGGGATTAGGGTTTCGGGTTTGGCTGCCAAGCCAAGCAGCATCTTCACTTGCGCTTGCCTTCAACTGCTTGCTGCTGGCAAGCCAAGCAGCATCTTCACCTTCAACTGCTTGCTGTTCCAGGCCAACCGCTCTGCTCTATGGAGTTATGTCCTGTCAAGTTCTGTTGTTGGTGATGCTTCTTGGCCAGGACTGTCGAGGCTGTTCTCCTTGGGCCGTGTGCGGGGCTTGAGTGTTCCTGCGTGCAAAGGCGTATAATACGACACCATATTATATGTATGTGAAAAATACTTCAAAATGCATGGTATCTGTATCAAGTGATCTCTTCGGTCCTTATGGCTGCATGATGATGATATGATGATGAGAACATCAAGCCAGGCAGGATTGATCTGAAGATGTGTTTTTCTTTTAGAGAACGCTGTGCCAGCTCTGAAAAAATCAAATTCAAGTGTTTTTCCGACAGAGCTGTAAATTCAGAACGTTTATATCAAAAACAGTCCGCTTCCCGTGGCACCTCTTCGGTTTCGACCTCCTGGCCACCCCCCCGCTAACCTTCCACCCCCCCCCTTGCCCCCCCCCCAACCCTCTTCTGAGAGACCCAGAGCCACTCAAACCAGCTTCAAAACACCAAAACGCAAGCCAACTTACAGAAAATGGCCTTGAGAACCAAATTAGAGGAAAAGTGCCACAGCAGCCTGCGGCAAGCTAAAGGAATGCTCCGAACCTGACCTTGAGTAGGTAGTCGGTAGTAGTAAGGCGGGACTCCTGTCCTGAGAATCCTGTTTGCTGAGCGCTGTGACTGCTGTGACTGTGACTGCTGTGAGTAGTGTGACAGTGAATGAGTGGGTGAGTGGGTGAGATGGCGAGGCCCACGGGCCAGCTCACTGGCGCATTGCGTTGAAAGCGGCTTCCTGTTTCCGCTTTGCTGCCTTCAAGCGTGCGCTTTCTGTGCACCATGGCATAGCAAGCCATTGGAGCTGCTCGCACACCGGGTACTGGTCTGCGGTGAGGTACGGTTACATGCCAAGTCCTACCAAGCCACAGGACGCCTTGGATCCAAACCCCTTCACCTGGGCTTGGAACGGCTGCCGCCGCAAGTTGTTTGAGGTTTGTCAGGAACCTACAACTGCAAGCGCTTTGAGCAGGCGAAGGGAGAACAAGGTCAAAGCTGCCTCTGAGGAAGGCAAGCCGGAGCCTCGGCCTTCCGAGATCAACCTCTACTCCATCATTGTACGGCATGGCTTCCGCAATTTCTCGACGACCACACGGCCGCCGAGCGGCTGATCCAGTGGTTGAAGCAGTATGGGTCTCCTGGGTTGGTTAGCTTTGCCTTCAAAAACCGGCAAAAGCTTCCAGGCATCATCGACGATGTCTGGTCTTGGGAGAATGTTGACGACTTTCTCCAGGTCAATGCCCTGACGCGGAAGCAACGCCTCCAGCCAGCTTTGACGGAGCCTTGCCAGTGCGGTGGGATGTGGCTGCAATGCGCGGTCCAAGTGCTGCAGCGCAACCACATCTACATTCCGGACATCTGCTCGCATCTCCAGCGCAGTCTCTTTCTGGGAAGGCGTGAAGACGTTCCGGTTGTAGTTCTCACGGGGCGCTTTGGTGGCGAAGGCAAGTCATTCTTGCTCTCTCCGCTCCGCAGTCTCTTTGGTGTGGAGAATGTGCAGGCCACACCTCAGCCCGGATCCTTCCCGCTGCTCGGCCTTGAACGCCGGAAAGCAGTTCTGCTCGACGAGTGGGCCTTTGACACATCGGTGCTGGCGCTCTCCACGCAACTGCTCTGGTATGAAGGCAAACCGTTTCCTTTGACCAGGCCACAGAACAAGGAGTTCAATGGGCATCTGCTGTATCAAGGCACAGCTCCTATTTTCGTGACCTGCAAAGAAAAGGAGCTAGAGCCCATTATTGCCAAGGCCCGTGAGGCTGCGCAGTTGGGCAGGCCCAGTGAGTGGACCATGTTGCTGCGCCGTCTTCGCATTTTCACATTTGCCGTGCCCTTCCCCGTGAGCACGCGTAAGATTCCAGAGTGTGCGACCTGCTTCGCTCGATTCCTTAATTCGTACGCAGTGCCAATGAACTAGCTTTGAGCACTTGCCTTCTGCGAATGGTATCCACGCACAGAGCCAATGCATCACCGTCTGAAAAGCTGTGAGCTGAGCGTACTCGCATTCCCATAGCAGGCCTCACACTGTGAGATTATTCATGCTTGTCAAACGTACCAGGCAACACTCGCTAAGGGACTGACTGGCAGAATTGTTTTTTTGCATATATTGCGCTTTGACGAATATCATGTCAAGTAACTGGAAACTGACAGTGCGCCCGCCCTTCTTCTAGAGTCTGGACTCAGGCACTCCATCCTGCCATGTGCGCATCATCAGGTAGACAACAGGTCGCTGTGAATACCTCACGCTTGTCAAACATACCCGGCAACGGTTTGCCGAAAGGCGCGGGCAGTCTTGTAGCTATTGCACTTGTACCGCTGTCATGTCCAGCAGCTGAAAACTGACAGTGTGCCAGCTCTTTCTCTAGGCCGGCTCAGGACACGCAACACAGCAACTCACTCCATCCTGCCGTGTGCTGCCAGGTGGACGACTAGCTGCTACCATTGCGCCCTGGCTGCGGGCAGGCGACTGAGTTAAAAGGCGCCGACGGGCAGTTTTGTAGGTATTGGACTTGGTGTTATTTTCTCTATCGGGCTCGGGACACGCAACACAGCAATTCACTCCATCCTGCCATGTGCTGCCAGGTTACCGTTGTGCCCTGGCTGCGGGCAGGCGGGCAGGCGACTGGGTAGTTAAGAGACATCCTACAGTCGATGGATTCTCCACAGTGGCATCCGTCATCTCGACGAAATGGACCCAGGAAGGTGGCTCTGCACAGCATCGCTGCTGCGTGGTCTGTCAGGGGCCTAAGCAGCAGTTGCGGCTGTGATCCCGGATATGTGGGCCGCGTCATGCTTCTCTCAACATCCAGCTCTGTTTGGATTTCTTGGTTGGCCCGCTGTGCATAGCAGAAAACACTCCTTGCTGCCATGCCGCGCACATGGACGAAGATGTCCCCTGAGGAGGTTCGCCTGGCGAAGCAGTGGTACTCTGAAGGCTCCAAGCCGTCCGAGATCGCCTTTCGTCTTGGCCGCGACAAGTCGGTCCTGACGAGGCTCCTCGTGAAACAAGTACCGCGCAAGAAGCAGGGTCGCTCCAATGCGCTCACTGCTGCGCAGGTGGATCTCCTTGTGCGGCGTCTCGATGAACTCGTCGTGAAGGCAGATGCACAGTACGCGGTGACCGTGACAATGCTCCGCAAGGCAGCCAAGGTCAAAGCCAGCGTCAAGACCATCCAGCGTGCCATCCACGCTCGGAACATCTATTTCAGGAAACTCCGTGAGAAACCTGTCCTCACACCGGACGATGTCAAGGCCCGGCTGAAGTTCGCCAAAAAATACAAGGGCAAGTCCTCGCAGTGGTGGAACAAGAATGTTCATGCTTTCCTTGACGGGAAGCATTTCAAGACATACTTGACTTCCGCCACGCGAAGGTTGGCAGCGCAGCACCGCACCTTCGGCGCATATCGAGCTCCTGGGCAAGGACTCAGCGGTGGCTACGTCAAGCCCAAGAAGGGCATGCCTAGCAGCACCGGATCCAAGAACTCCTTGGTCATGGGCGCTGTGGGAAGCGGCAAGGTGCTGCTTTGGTACGAGGTCCCGGAGGGACGGTGGAGTGGGCAAGCTGCTGCTGACATGTACAGCGGGCCCTTGAAGACTGCCCTGACTAAGTCCTGGCCCACCAAGCGCAAGCATGTGGTGCTTGAGGACAATGATCCAACAGGTTTCCAGTCTAGCAAGGGCAAGGCGGCGAAGCTGGTGAACGGCATCGAGAGCTTCGCCATACCAAAGAGGTCCCCGGACTTGAACCCGATGGACTACTGCATCTGGTCGGAAATCAACCGCCGCATGCGGCGCCAAGAAGTCAAGTGGGCGAACGCCAAGCGCGAGTCTCGAGCTCAGTACTTGAAGCGTCTTCGTCGCACGGCCAAGAATTTGTCCAGGGATTTCGTCACCTCGGCAATTGGCGACATGAAGCGCCGCTGTCAGAGGCTTTTCGAAGCCAAGGGCCGCTTCTTTGAAGAGGGCTCGTGAGCGGGTAGCAGACACTCTTTTAGATACCGTCTGGCCTAGCTACAGATGCCGTTGATCGCATCGGTCGGCGCATGATGGTCTTTGCTGACTCAGAGCCATGTCGTTTCATCGTGGCATCTTGGCACTTGCAAAGCAAGCAGCCCATGCCAAAGCATCTGAACTGCGAGCTGCAACTGCCGGGCGTGTGAGTCAGACTCTGTAGATTCGGATGTCATGCAGAACTGCGATTGGGTCACGGGTCCAATGTAAAACCATGCAGCCCAGGCCAGAACCTTCTTGGACTTGCCGTTGCTGCTGACAGGCTGGCCCGAAGGCCTAGGCCCTGGGGAGAGTCTCAGCAGTCAAGACGCAGTCAACGCTGCCGAAACGCTGCCAAAACGCTGGAAACTGTGATCTGGCCGCTTCAGTCCTCGAAAAACCAGCAAAGGCATGCAAAATGACAGTCAACGCTCAGTCAACACCACAGTCAACACTACAGTCAACACTGCCAAAATGCTGGAAAAACCAGCATTTTGCTCTTCTGGACATTTAGAACCTAAAAAAACCTTTGTTTTCTGTTAAACCGAGCAAATTGTGGAATTTGCTGGTTTTCCCAGTGTTTTGGTAGTGTTGACTGTAGTGTTGACTGTAGTGTTGACTGAGTGTTGACTGAGTGTTGACTGTCAGTTTGCATGTGTTTGCGGCACCTTGCGACTTGGGAGCGCAAGCAAAGTTAAAGCCACTGAAGCCACCGGCTTGTCAGCGAAAGGTGCAGTGAGTAGTCCCTTCTTGCCATGCCGGCCGTGCTCAGTCGTCCGCAGCGACGGTTGAGGGAGAAGACGTGGCTTGGTTTTGAGCTGCTGGATGAAGAACCTGGATGGCACAAGCGTCTAGAGACGGTTGCAGAGCAGCCGTTGGTCCATGTTCAGCAGTCTTACCTGCAGGAGAAAAAATCTGCAGCCGGAGTGCTCACAAGCCTCCAAGCAAGTCTACCTTGTCACGCTGCCAGCCCTCCGCCGCCTGAGCGATGCCGACTCCAAGCCTGGACTGCAGTGCCCGAGCGGCCCGAGCACATGGGACCACGAAACTGTGGCTCGTGTCCTCTTGGATGCTTTTCAGCGCCCTGTGTGCAGCAACAACAACGCATCATGGGGCCACACAGTGCAATTGGAGGCATTCGTCGTCTTCCGAGAGCAGCATGCTCCCAGAGATGGCGAGGCCCACGGGTTCCTGCTTCCGCTTTGCTGCCTTCAAGCGTGCGCTTTCTGTGCACCATGGCATCGCAAGCCATTGGAGCTGCTCGCACACCGGGTACTGGTCTGCGGTGAGGTACGGTTACATGCCAAGTCCTACCAAGCCACAGGACGCCTTGGATCCAAACCCCTTCACCTGGGCTCGGAACGGCTGCCACCGCAAGTTGTTTGAGGTTTGTCAGGAACCTACAACTGCAAGCGCTTTGAGCAGGCGAAGGGAGAACAAGGTCAAAGCTGCCTCTGAGGAAGGCAAGCCGGAGCCTCGGCCTTCCGAGATCGACCTCTACTCCATCATTGTACGGCATGGCTTCCGCAATTCTGACGACGACCACACGGCCGCCGAGCGGCTGATCCAGTGGTTGAAGCAGTATGGGTCTCCTGGGTTGGTTAGCTTTGCCTTCAAAAACCGGCAAAAGCTTCCAGGCATCATCGACGATGTCTGGTCTTGGGAGAATGTTGACGACTTTCTCCAGGTCAATGCCCTGACGCGGAAGCAACGCCTCCAGCAAGCTTTGACGGAGCCTTGCCAGTGCGGTGGGATGTGGCTGCAATGCGCGGTCCAAGTGCTGCAGCGCAACCACATCTACATTCCGGACATCTGCTCGCGTCTCCAGCGCAGTCTCTTTCTGGGAAGGCGTGAAGACGTTCCGGTTGTAGTTCTCACGGGGCGCTTTGTGCTCTCTCCGCTCCGCAGTCTCTTTGGTGTGGAGAATGTGCAGGCCACAGCCCGGATCCTTCCCGCTGCTCGGCCTTGAACGCCGGAAAGCAGTTCTGCTCGACGAGTGGGCCTTTGACACATCGGTGCTGGCGCTCTCCACGCAACTGCTCTGGTATGAAGGCAAACCGTTTCCTTTGACCAGGCCACAGAACAAGGAGTTCAATGGGCATCTGCTGTATCAAGGCACAGCTCCTATTTTCGTGACCTGCAAAGAAAAGGAGCTAGAGCCCATTATTGCCAAGGCCCGTGAGGCTGCGCAGTTGGGCAGGCCCAGTGAGTGGACCATGTTGCTGCGCCGTCTTCGCATTTTCACATTTGCCGTGCCCTTCCCCGTGAGCACGCGTAAGATTCCAGAGTGTGCGACCTGCTTCGCTCGATTCCTTAATTCGTACGCAGTGCCAATGAACTAGCTTTGAGCACTTGCCTTCTGCGAATGGTATCCACGCACAGAGCCAATGCATCACCGTCTGAAAAGCTGTGTTATTGCAGCTGAGCGTACTCGCATTCCCATAGCAGGCCTCACACTGTGAGATTATTCATGCTTGTCAAACGTACCAGGCAACACTCGCTGAAAGGGACTGTGGATGGACAAAAATCTTGCACCGCTTTTCAGAAACGCCATTTCATGATTCCCCGCACCCCCTTTTTAACATTGGTTGTGAAAGGCTACGGACCGGATTTGTTCCAATGGCCGAAATCTTGCACCGCTCGAAAAGTCTTACGATCAATGTTAAGAAGGGGGTGCGGGGTTTGACGCCGCAATCGTTTGAAGCATGCGTGTAACCGGTGGTGCAAGATTTCGTCCATCCACCGGAGTGAGTGAGAGTGAGTGAGAGTGAGAGTGAGAGTGAGAGTGACAGTGAGAGAGTGAGAGAGTGAGAGAGTGAGAGAGTGAGAGTGAGAGTGAGAGTGAGAGAGTGAGAGAGTGAGTGAGTGAGTGAGTGAGTTGAGAGTGTGAGTGCGAGATTGAGTGTGAGTGTGTGTGTGTGTGTGTGAGTGTGAGTGAGTGTGAGTGAGTGTGAGTGTGTGTGTGAGTGTGTGTGTGAGTGTGTGTGAGTGTGTGTGAGTGTGTGTGAGTGTGAGTGAGTGTGAGTGAGTGTGAGTGAGTGAGTGAGCGAGCGAGTGAGTGAGTGAGTGAGTTAGTGAGTCAGTGAGTCAGTGAGTGAGTCAGTGCGCGAGTCCGTGAGCGAGTCAGTGAGCGAGTCCGTGAGCGAGTCCGTGAGCGAGTCAGTGAGGGAGTCAGTGAGGGAGTCATCGAGTGAGTGAGTGAGTGAGTGAGACCTCAAGTGAAGGGATTTAAGTAGGCCTTCTGCTGGAATGAAAACAGATGTCTGGAGGCCAAAAGTTTTTCTTAGTGGTGGTGAAGCTACTGCTGAAAATTTCTTACAAGTATAATGAATCTATATACTGCCTACTTGGGGCTGTTTGGAACTCCACGAGAAAGCCGCCCGATACCAGGGGGCTTCTGATTCAACAGGGCTGCAGAGGGCGGCAGCGCGTTCGGTGTCAGCATCGTTTCTGTACAGGTTGATAGGGTTTGGGGTTCAGGGTTAAGGGCTTAGGGTCTGGGTTTCCAGCTAAGTGGATAAAGGTGGATGGCTTTGCGCCCTTCCTCTCTGTGGCCCGCACGCCCGAACTGTACAGCGCGCTGCTCTTTCTGATTGGTGGGGCAATTCCTGCACGGATCTTGTCGTGCCCGGCAGTCTCATGATGCCGCGCAAGTGGGCGACTGTAACATAGATCTACATTGGAGCTAATTAATTTCATTTCACGTTCACAGAGACCACCTGCTTTCGGTAGTTTGGAGTTTGACGGTATGTGTGTATGTGTATGTACGTGTGTTTGTATGTGTGTATATATATATGTATATATATATATATATGTGTGTGTACATACACACACAAGTATGTATATACATATAGATATAAATGTACATCTACATATAAATATGAACATGAATAGAAACATACATCGACAAGCTAATAAATAATAAACCAATAGATCAAACAAGTAAGCAGATTAATACATCTCCAGTAAATAAACAGATAATTGAATAAATGAGTGAAAAACAAACAAATAAACAATACAAATATGAACGTAAAAAAATGCATACATATAGATACAACTATAAACACATATATATGTATACATACATATGCATGGATACATACATACATACATACATGCATACATACATACATACATACATATACACATACATACATACATACATACATACATACATACACATACATACATACATACATACATACATACATACATATACATATACAAATAATGCATATACATATACATATACTTATACATATACATATACATATACATATACATGCATGCATACATACATACATGCATACATACATACATATATACATACATACATAGCTGATGCTATATTTCTGTATGTGTGTAAATATGTATGTATGTATGTATGTATGTATGTATGTATGTATGTATGTATGTATGTATGTATGTATGTACTTATGTATGTATATATACATACCCACATACGTACAATAATTTATACAATTATACAACTATACATAATCATACATGCGCACACAAATATATCTACATATATATATATATACAAATACATATACACACATAAGAAGATACATTCATACATACATTCATTCATTCATTCATTCATTCATTCATTCATGCACTCACTCACTCACTCACTCACTCACGCACTCACGCACTATGCATGCATGCATGCATACATACATACATACATGCATGTCTGCATACGTGCATACATGCGTACGTACGTACATACATACCTACATACGTACATACATACGTACATACAAACGTACATACATACGTACATACATAAATACATATGCATACATACAGGCAGACAGACAGACGGACGGACAGACAGACAGACAGACGGACCGACAGACGGACCGACAGACAGACAGACAGACATGCATGCATGTGTGTACGTGCGTGTATATATATATACATACATTCATACATTCATACATTCATACATTCATACATTCATACATTCATACATTCATACATTCATACATTCATACATTCATACATTCATACATTCATACATTCATACATTCATACATTCATACATTCATACATTCATACATTCATACGTTCATACGTTCATACATTCATACATTCATACATTCATACAGTAATACATTCATACACTCACACACTCATACAAACATACATTCATACATTCATACATTCATACATTCATACATTCATACATTCATACATTCATACATTCATACATTCATACATTCATACATTCATACATACACACATACATACATACCTACATATATATATATATATCTTATGTATTTATATATATACATATATATATATATATGTGTATATGCATATATATATATACACATATATATATACATATATATATATATATGTATATGTGCGCATGTGTGCAGAGAGAGACGATGAAGTGCATGGGAATTTGCTGGAATTCGGATTCCGCGCCCTGTTGTGCAGATGTTTGGCAGCTGGGTTTAGAGCTGCACAGGGCAGCGGCAGTGGATGTCGGAGTTTCTGAAACGTGGGGCCCTGGGTTTAGGGTTTAGCGCTTAGGGCCTTTAGGGTTTTGGGGGTTCAGTGGTTTAAGGATTTAGGGGTTTAGGGTTTAGGTTTCCAAGTAGGTAGATCTCCAACATGGTAGGACTCATGCTTCATAGGATACGGTCACCTCGAAGCTCAGCAGCCACTGATTTACAGAAGCTCCCGTTCGGCTGACAGGATGCCACCTGGAGGATCCAAGAAACAGGCTCTGGCATGGATGTGCATTGCTCTGTTTGAGCCCTAAACCACCCCAAAACAGTATTTACATGTGGTGTATTGACATTCCTTCAAGTTTTTACGCTTTTTGCCTTCAGCAGCCCTAAACCCTCCAACGGATGTAGCAGTAACAGCATTTACTTGCGCGTCCTCCAGTCCTTGCATGTTGTGTTTCTATGAGCTCCGAAGTGTGACTAATGAAGATCCTGGACGGACGGCTGGGCTCAAGCCAGACGACCGCCCAAGTGCCCACAGCTCTGGTGGCTGCCCAGTGTTTCATTGCCCTCAGCCCAGGACCAATGCATCCCTGGTATCAGAGGCTGTCTGTCTGTCTGTCTGCCTGTCTTTCTGTCTTTCTGCCCATCTATCTATCTATCCATCTATCTATCTATCTTGTTTTTGGTAGATCGATAAATAAATAAATAGATATATGATATAATGAATATGCACCTTAAACCCGTAGGTGTCAAAGCACAGGAATTCACGTTTTCCGGGTTGGTGTTTAGCTTGTGTTTTTCTTCAGAGTTCAGTTTGTTAGTTACAGGGACAGGGATCAGAGTTTGTTGTGGACTAGCGTTCAGCAGTGCAGGCTTTTGACCCGGGGTCAGTAAACGCTGAACCCAAATTGTCCAGGGTTTAGGGTTTAGGGTTTAGGGTTGAGATTTTTGAGGTCCAGGGAGCCCACCCAAAGAGCTCCGGAAAAGGGCACATCAACGGGACATCGCAAATATTCCAAGACACCTGGCTCCGAACCCACGAGCCCTAACAACCCTAAAGACATTCAAAGAGAAACACCTAACCCCTCCCCCCAAAACAGCAAGAGAACAAACACACACACACACACACAAAAGAAGAAAAAAAAAGGGAAGAGAGACGCACACACAAAGAAACAAAAAGATGAACGCCCTAGACCCTAAATCGCCGCTTAAACATGAAGTCTCATACCCTCATAATTAAATAAACCTTGAACCCTAACCCTTCAATGCCCCAAGCCCTAAAGCCCTAGGCCCCTAAAGCCCTAGGCCCTGAGCCCTAAACCCAGAACCCTAAACCCTCCACCTCGAAGCCCAAAGCCCTAACTAAACTCTCAATCCCAAACCATGAAACTTCAGCCTTGAAACCCTACACCCTAAATCCCCTAAACCCTTAATAAACCCTAAACCCTAAACCCTAAATCCCCTAAGCCCTAAACCCTAAACCCTAAATCCTAAACCCTAAACCCTAAATCCTAAACCCTAAACCCCAAATCCCAGAAAAAGCACCCCAAGACCACTGCTCTGAGGTCGCCTGCAGCTGCAGGAGGGTGAACCGCTGGCCGAAGGAAGGCGCGGCCGCAGTTTAGGGTTTAGGGTTTAGGGTTTAGGGTTTAAGGTTTAGGGGTAAGGGTTTTGTGTTAAGGGTTTTGGGTCTAGATTACTGTGCAAGCTTTAGGGTTTGGTCATACAGAGCTGAGGGTTTAGGGTTTAGGGTTTAGGGTTTAGGGTTTAGGGTTTAGGGTTTGGGGGCTAAGCTTTGGAGTTTAGGGTATGGAGGGCATTTAGCTACTGGGCTACAGTATCGGGGGCTTTAGTAAAAGTTGGGGCTTCGGGGATTCACTTCGCACCAGTTGCAGATGACATGTCTTTTCAGTCTATGAACGGTCAGGTGAGTGTATCCTTGCTGTGCTATATCCTGTTGACCCCAAAGCCCGCCGTACTAGACCCTAGTATAAACCTCAAACCCTGAACCCTCAATTAAGTCCTCCTTACCAGAGCCATTCACCCAAGCCCTAAATGCCACAATTTTAACTTCCAGAACCGAGGTTCACCCTCCAGATTCTGCACCCTGGACATCCCCATAAGATCCTAAACCCTATAAACCTTGTGTAAGCGCTGTGCTTCACTCCATTAAACCTTACATACCACCAAAGCCATAGTTGCCATGAAGCAGTAGTTGCCAGACGTACAAGCATTGAGGTTTAATGTGTAGGGGAGAGGGTTTAGGGTGCTTATGTCTATATGTTGCAAGATTAAGAGTGTTGGGTTAAGGCTGCCAGGCTTTCTGGCATGGGGGCATGGAGGGTTTAAGTTGAAAGCTTGGGGTTGAAGTTGAATGTTTGTGCTTTGGTGTTCTGGGGCTCAGGGTATACAGGATTTAGGGAGTTTTGGCATAGGGTCTAGGGCTGAGGGTTGAGGGTATATGGTGGGGGGTCTAGAGTTTCTTTTTAGGGGAAGCTTTTTGGGCTCAGGTCGCCATACACACACGCCCTCCAAGATTTTAAACACACACAACCAACGACCCAACCCTAAGCCACAGCATACACTTTCACATGGCAATAAGCCTGCACCCTGCACAAAAATGAGGCAGGCTTCCTTCCCGGCATATATTTTTCCAATAAAAGCACAAGCTTGCGCTATGTTTCAGGCTTGAGTTTAGCGTCCTTGACCAAACATATCGGCCTCTCCTTTCTATGCGAAGAAATGGATTCAATATTGGTTCAGGACATGGTGCGCCTGTACGGGCTTTGTAAGAGATGTGCAGTTCAGGGTTTAGGGTTTGAGGTTAGGACCTGCAGGGTTTAGGGTTTAGGGTTTAGGGTTTAGGGTTTAGGGTTGCAAGTTCTATGGGTTTCAAGCTTTGCTGCGCTTTGGGAGGCTTAGAGTCTCAAAATCTTTGGTCTTTTCCGCTTAACCTCGGGTGCTAGGAGGGTTTCGGGCCGTTTAGGGTTCACATGTATGCTTCAGGGGGTTTAGGGTTCAGGGCTTATCACCCTACAAAACCTGAAGCCTCGACTCGAAGCTCTGTATCCTGAGAAGGCCCCCGCGCCGTAAACCTCAAATCCAACCCTCCAAACGATGTACAAGAAAGCAGGATGAGAAACCCTAAACCCTTTAAACCCTTTCAACCCTTTAAACCCTTTAAACCCTTTAAACCCTTTAGACCCTTTAGACCCTTTAGATCCTAAACCCGGAGGCCTAGACTCCTGCTAGAAAGCGACAATAGAATATATAACCCTTAAACCCTAAACCCTATAGGGTTTAGGGTTTAGGGTTTAGGGTTTAGGGTATAGTCCTATATAAGCCCTAAACCCCCAGAAGCCGTGGTGGGCTGCGGAGGTGGACGAAAGCACGGCAGCTAGCCCTGATTTTAGTGATGTTTGGGGTTTGGGGGTTTAGGGTTTAGGGTTTAGGGCTTTAGGGGTTTAGGGGTTTAGGGTTCAGGCTTCAGGCTTCAGGCTTCAGGGTTTCGGGTGAGGATGTGTAGGAGCTTTGAGTTTAGGGGTGTAAGGTTTAGAAGTTCAACTTTTGGGGTTACGGTTTTAGGGTTGTTTGGAATTCAGGGGTGGTGCTTATGTGCTTTGGGGGACTTAAAGGTAAGTTGATGGCTGCTTAGAGGCGACCCGACTAAGCAAAGCTCCTGGGCACAGCTTGGAAGATTTCGGGCAATGGATCTCTGATTGCACCGTCCTGCTCTAATCTAATCACTTGCATAAGATTTGTTTTCAAGCAAGTATGGTTACATCCTAAACCCTGAATTAATATGTATGCTGGAGAGAGCAAGTCCTGTGGTTTGAACAAAAGCTGGATTACCTTCCAAAGAACCTTAAACCCTAAACCGTAAACCCTAAACTCCCTAAACCCTAAACCCTAGATAAACCCTAAACCCCGCTCAATATCTCTTTTACAAGCATGTCTTTGAACCTTCGACGAATTTCATGGAGGCCCCAGGGCTTCCGTTTTCACCAGGCCCCCCATGTAATGATTGAAGAGTCGGGTAGACCCTAAACCCTAAACACTTAAACCCTTAACCCTAAAACCCAAAACCGTTTAAGCCCTTAAGCCCTAAACCCTAAACCCCCAAGACCCTAAGCCTGAAGCCCTCAGCCCTAAACCCCAACCCTAAACCACCCTTAGTCTTAAACCCTAAACCCTATAAGGGGGAGGCACTCAGAGGCTTGCTTGAGGCGGCCGAGACGCCTGGTGCTCAGAAGCGTGGTTTGGCGGATACGGTGTGTTCTGGCTGTAAGTGTAGTTTGTCATTGTGCGTTCCTGGCTCTGTTAGTAAAGCTAAAGTCTGCACTATTGCAGGCATCTGGCCCGAGCTCCCCCCTCGCAAACGCGAGGTCTTCCAATGCGCCGCTATGGTTGTGACCGCAACGACGGTCAAGAACGACCTCCGCACACCCATCGAAGTCAACATTGGGAGCGACTTGTGGCAGACCATATACCCCGAGAGGTTCTGTCAGGTCGAGCTCGAGGTTGTGCGGGTGCGCCTGGTAGAAGACCCGGGAGTGAAGGGCAGCTATCAAGTTGAGGGAGGAGGGTGCCCAGGGTGCCTGCTTCGAGCGTCTTCAGACTTCGAAGCCTTCAGCAGGCATGCACAGGACAAAGACAGCGCGGAACAGCGTGAAGTCGAGGAAGAGGCCAAGCGCAGAGAAGAGGCGAAGAGGAAAAAAAAAGAGATGATTCAGAATATGGCCGCAGAGAAGCGGAACCAAGCAACAGGTTGGTTTGCGAGGTGTTTTTCTTTTGTGTGTCTTTGCCTGATTCCCGCGACCGGCGTGGTCTATCTGAGTACCTTCCCGCCTAAGAGCAGCGTGATGGCCGCTTGCTTCGCCGCCAGCACGGTCCCAATCTGCGGCTCGCTCAGCTGCTGGGTTGCGATAGTGGGGTCGAACAAGTATGGCCTTGGTGTGTTGACATTCGGCAAGCATGAGGCTCGATACCGCTGGGCATCACGGCTGACTGGAGGGCTCGCCATGGCAGCTGTGGTGTATAGGAGCGTTCGGAATGCGCAGCACGGCTTCTGGTGGACGGCGCTCATCGTTTGTCCAGCGGCCTTCTGCGGCTGCTTTGCCTGGTGCCCTGTAGCGCTGAGGGTTGCTCATTGGCACCAGAAAACCACGCTGGAATGGGAGCACACCCAAGCGCAGCGTGAGGTCGGCAATCGCACCATCCGCTTCGAAGGCTCGGTCATCAAGGAACAGGGCCGTCCGTGCGTGGCCAGCTGGCCAGGCAAGTATGCGGCAGCTTGGGATGCTTTGGTGTCGCAGAGCCGTGATGGGGACGTGAGCGCTGCCGTAGTCTTCCTCCCGGAAGGCACGGACGACTACGGAGTCCACGACAACATCCCCACTGATGAAGGGCTATACGGCACTTGCTGGTGCACCCCGCTTTACGGGGAGGAAAAGCCGTGGGGGTGCAGGTGGTTCTCTAACTGGAAGGAGAACATCGAGACGGCGGTGCAAAGCGAAGCAGTTCTGGAAGTATACTACTTTGTTGAGCATGTTGGGAGAGGCAAGGTCGCAAGCTTCAACGCTGCGGGCGACGAAAACCTCAAGAGGGAGACGCTGAACCAGAAACAAAAACGTTTTGAACAGTCTCCCGAATTCAAGCAGGCACTGGACGCTGGCCTCGGCAACCTCTCCAAGGACCTGCGTGGAGATTCATCCTCCCCCTACTCCAGAGAAGTCAGGCGCCTTTTTCTGGCCTCCCTTCCGGAGCCGGAACGTCGGTTTCTGGAGGATTTCGAAGGCCTTGGCAATTCTCAAAAAGCCGAGGTTGCTTGGCTGGAGAGGAAGGGCTACGCGTACCAGGAGGTGGACGTCTCCGTCTGGTTGCGAGGAGAAGGTGGCGAGACCTATGTTCCAGCATTTGCCGAGCAGAAAGTTTCGCAGAAGCAAGCGCAAGTGACGGCCGACAGTACGTCCCAGCATGCCCCCGACATAATAACACACCTTTGAAGGGGAATACTGAGTTAGGTTGCAACCTATTTCCGGCAGCCTGATGATGTTTTTCTGTGACAGTGGGCTGCGTGCCCCCGCAAAAACGGTCCTGCATAGTGATCTGACAGTGGTCAGGGTCCCAGACCCATGTCACAGGCTCCCGAGAAAAAGTGTTGAGATCGAGCGATTTCCCTTCAATCCCTGTTCCTGTCCATCAATCATGAGTCGTAGCGATGTTCAGTACGTCGCAAAGCATGAAGGACTCAGGTTATGGCATAATGATGACCCTACAGGCATAATTTGCGACTGCAAAAGTGAGTTTCACCTCGAGCGGCATGGTGCGTCATAAGGCGCAGACTGAAAGAAGAACACCGCCGAAGCTGTGGAACAAAAAGATGTTGAGAATGGCCTACTCAGGGCGAATTGCTTTGTGACCTTCAAGGACATGTCCAAAGGTTTGAGAAGTTCCGGTTCAAAATTATCCGATTTATTTGCTTGACTTGTGTTTTATCTAAACCCTAAACCCTAAGCCCTTAACCCTAAATCCTTAACCTAAACCCTGAAACCAAGCATTGTGTTGACATCCTGGCCTGGTTCGGCACCCAAAACGATAAGGTGAAAGCATAGCCCGACTGAGCTGTTTAGGGCCCTGGGGTATTGAAAGTTTATATACGATACGATACTATACTATACTATACTATACTATACTACACTATGCTATACTATACTAGACTGGACTAGACTAGACTAGTCTAGTCTTAGACTAGACTAAACTAGACTAGACTAGACTAGACTAGACTATACTATACCATATTCGGCTTATAAGGTTTCGGGTTTTGGCTTATGCTTGGCTATTGGGCTTTCGCGCATAAGCTTCGGGACCCTCAAGAGGAGGAGGAGGAGCCTGTGGACGCAGTGCTGGACTATGGGTTTGGATATGCGTTTTGGCGTCGAGGGTTTAGGGCATACAGTAGAGTTCAGGTTTCAAGGGCGTGTAGGGTTTAGCGTTTAGGGGTTTGGGATTCGGATCCTGTCTTCTATGTCAAAGGGGCTTTGCAGAGTATTGAGGGATTTGTGGGCTTGCGGCGCGGCTTGTGGTCTAGGCTTTGAGGGAGGTTTAGATATCAAGCGCATGAGTTCGGGGTTAAGGGAGTTCCGCGCTTGAGGTAGGTTCTGCAGATGTGCAGCAGAGGAGGTTGTCGTCGCCCCAAAGCAAGGGGCCCCATTGAGTGCCTTGTCGTTAGTAGGGTCCTGAGACCTATCTGCCACTAGAATCCCTGAAGCCTTGCAAACCTATGGAAGCCGTAGTCCCTCGACCCATGAAAGACAAAAAAGACAGCAATATTCAAGCCTGAAGGATTGAAACACCCTAAAGCCCTAAAGCCGTAAACCCATAAACCCTAAACCCTAAACCCTAAATCCTAAACCCTGAACCCTATACCCCCAAACTCCCCCAGAATTGGCCTGCAGAGGTGTGCGAAATCATGGCCGCTCCCAGACCACAGAGGTGCTCGTGGCTTTTTTTTTATTTCTTTTTGTTGTTTTTTTAATAGGTGGTTCAGGGTTTTGGGGGGTTTGGGTGGTTTAGGGGATTTGGGTGGTTTAGGGTTTTAGTTGTTTTTTTGTTTTGGGGTGTAGGGTTTCTGGTCTAGGGCTTTAGGGTTTTATAGTGTTCAGGGTTTTGGGGTGTAGGGTTTAGGGTTGATGAACTGCAGGTTCAGGAGTTCTGGGCTCTGGGTTAAAGGTTTTGGTTTGGGAGTTTAGGGCTTGGGTTTTTTGGATTTCAGGATTCAGTTTCTCATAAGAGAATCAATCAAAATGATGAGGGGCATTTGTCAAAGGTCAGAGGCAAGTTCATGGGTGCCGGGGATGTCGGGGCTACGGGCGTAAACAGCTTTACGGCTTGCAGGTTTCCAGGAAGTTTGGTAACTACGTTTAAAGTATGATGAACGTGTGAAAGCGCTGTAAAAAAATCGGAGCTTCATGAAATTAGAAACTTGAAGCCCTGACTGTAAAGCCTAAATCCTGACTCTCCGCCAAACGCAATCGGACCAGTAGCTTCCCTAAACTCCAAATGCGAAACCCCAGAGTTCCTTTATATACTGTATATTATGTACTATATACTTTTATTACATACTATATGCTATACTATATACTATATACTTTATTATACTATCCCAGCGGGAAGCTTTAGCGGGTGGGAGGAGTGCGACGACCTTTTGATGCTTGAGATCATGTGCGAGGCGTGGCGGCGGTTGCTTGCTTTCTCTTGTCTGATTAGGCTCGGTTTTTTTCTGCCATAGCTTTCTTGTATGACAGCATGACTTTCCGAATATTTGTGGATGTAGACTGTGTTTTGCTCGCTTGATTGCTACTTTGTGTTTTGTGCGTTTTTTTCTCGAGGCTTCTGTTTGGTAACATTTCTATCCAAACGAAATAGAGATGGCCAAGCATTCTCTCGTAATGCGGTGAGCTCTGGAGTTCTGGGGTCATGTGTCTAGGACCACAGGTCTCTCCCAACCGCCCCGGCCTTCCACAAGCCTTTTGAGGATTTAAAGCCAAACCCCAAGTGGAAGATGTACTCATAGTACCCCAAGGGGGCATTCAGAGTATATGCTAGAAGTAGACCTTCCATCTCTTGGAAACGAGATCTTGTATCTGGTGCACGCAAAACTTGCATCCTGCAATGGACACAGGCCTCAAGGTTCAAGATCCGGCAAGACAGGGAGTGCAACAAGGTAAGAGAAACGCCCAACTGCCCCAACCCTAAACCCTCAACCTTAAACCCTAAACCCTAAACCCTAAACCCTATAAACCCTAAAACCGCCCTGCGAGGTTGGGTGCCAAAGTCTGGGCCCAGTAGAGATCTTCACGCAGGCCGTGGTTGGGGTTGGGGTTAAGGGTGCAAGGTTTTAGGGTTCCGGGGATTTGGTGTTGTGGTTTAGAGTGTAAAGTCTAGAGGTTTAGGGTTTACCGTGCAAGGTTGAGGGATTGAGGTTCAAGGGTTAAGATTCAGGTGTTAGGGGCAAGCGTTGAGGGCATGCTTCTTACTTATACGTGCTCATGCATGAGTTTTCTGCGCTCTGCGCTTATACGTACCCCGATTGCTTCTTGCGTAAGTGCAAAGTGTTTCATTCCTTCGAGTATCTTCCAAAGGTGTGGTCTTTGTTAGTCCAGGGCTCCGGACCTAGAGTTTGAGGAGCGCCCCTTCACCCACCCGCCCCGCAAACCATCAACGCAAGATCCTAAACCCTAGAACCCTAAACCCTAAACCCTAAACCTTCAACCCTAGAAACCCTAAACCCTATACGGGGGGCAACCAAAGGGGGACAGGGAACAAAACAGTCAACCCCAAAAGAAGCCCTTGATTCCCCTGGAACAACCAAAGACAAAACCCAAAGCAGAACCAAACACACCTTTTCTGTAGGGCGCATTGCCCAAGGTCTTGAGCCAAATTTTATGCGGGCGTTTTACCCTTCCAACCTATACAGTGCAACCTCCGCACTCCCCCTGTCCTGAGATCCTCTCAGGACACTTCTGGAGGTGCCGGTCCCTTTTCACTAAGACCAAAAGCTGTTCCTTTCACAGCAGTCAACCAAAAATGGTTAATGTCCTTTGGACGGGCCGTAGCCACTGGCATGCAAACTATGGTTTTACGTCATCCAGGACGAGTTTAAGAGCTCATTGACTCTGCATTCCACGGAGGATTTTGTCACCTCACTTGGAAAGTGAATCCATCATTCACCAAAAATTCTGCACTCACAACCCACTCCTTTTTAACGCATCGTTTGCACATTGTCCTCGCCTTGGGTTGTGAATATTGCAGAGTATCACAATCACTGCTCGCATGCATACAGCCACCATTTGCCGTTGCATATAATGTGGCACTCGTTGGGATAACCACCGCCTTTCTCCCCCACAGCCCTTGATGTAGCCGTCGGAGAATGTACTTGGCCAATTCCCAGAGTAAAACCGTTGCCAACAAATACGCAGCGATATCCAAGTTGTTCAGTGCTGTTTCTATACCTTGCGCCAGAACCATTGCCGTGGATTCATTGGAAACTCTGCACACCCCATCTTCTGAGCAGAAAAAACCTGGCGTTCGCGTCTCCATCGTTGCCATCCCTTGAAGAGATGCAGCCACCATCATGACCGCCATTGCAAGAGAGGCCCTTTTCAAGTCAGTTCCTTGTACCAACATTTGGAGACCCCAAAGCGCCTTTTGTTTTGCGTAAACCTGTCCACTCATCAGTTTTGTCAACAGGTCAGCAATCATGTACTCACCACGAAGATGTGCTATCACCATGTAACCACGGTCCACCAGAGACCTGACACCAGCCGCTCGGATTCTCAGGTGCCTTGTCCTCCAGCTTCCAGCAGGATATTGAATAATTGAGCACGTCGAAACCGAATCTGTATACAGCCCTTTCTGCAGCGTTTCTTCACCGGTTCCCACCAAAGCGGCAATTATAGGAGTACACGACTGAATCATCGTTGCCCCCTCAATAGACGCGTGTAACTCAGCTTCAGCAGTACTCAAAGCCACCGTTGACTGTCTCTGTGTTGCCCACATCACCGGACAATCACCCCAAACCACTACCGCTCCTGAGTGGCTCTTTTCGTTTTCACCTGCTGCAAAACTGGCATCTGCGTAAGACTCTACCGCCTTGATGCCTCGCCCATAACGCAACAACTCATTTCGTTCTTTTTCGCTTGTTGCGATTGCTCCAAACGTCAAGCCCAACGTTGGAGTTGCAGCAAGGTACCGAAATACCTCCTCAGCCTTTTTAACCACGAATCGCGGCCTTCGAGATGTCCACAAAGACAGCTGGCTTGTGCAGAAAGCCAAATCAGGTCGAGTTTTGATTGCCACCCAGAGGAACTCCCCTACGGCACCTTGAGCCGCTCGTAAGGAAGGAATATCCACCTCCTCTTCTTCACCGGGGGTTTCTTTAACCATTGGCAGATTACTGCCTTTCCCAGTTTCATCAATCCGATACCCTCGTCGGTTCAGCAAA